CTATCTGCACATATAATCCCTACCAACCTGGTATACTAAGTTCTTTTGTTTTACGATCGACGTTTGTCCAATTAGCAAGAAAAAGACAGTTTTTTCCGTACCTGCAACATATTTACTTGCGCGCAATGAAAACCTATATTAAATAAGATTAAAATTGGTCCTAGAATCGCTCATCTCTTTGTCAGAAAGTCTAAAAGATAATACAAAAATAATAAAATCGTTAGATCTTTTGCGAGGGGTCAACCATGTCGGAATCCCTGGACATTTCAGAGGGAATAACATAGGAATACAATGGGTATACTTATGACCAGTTGGGAATACATTTATAGTATTTAGGAATAAAGCGCTGTCCTACAGATATAAGGAGTAGGAACGCGCCATTCTGCTTATGAAGCTAAAGTGAAGCCAAGTTTTTGGCAGGTGTTTGGCACCTGTGTTACTACTCCTTTACGTTTACCTGCTCTAAGGTCTTCTCTGTTTGTTTTTTTTTTTGAGGCCCGTAATCCTAATCCTCCAATTCCAAATTTGCAGTAGTCTCTGGTAAAAGGTAGCAAGTGAAAAACTATCGATTCGTGTCTAGTGATTCCAGCGATTCGCGTTTTATCTGTAAAAATGCTCATCATTTTTGTATTTGTATTCCTTAATTTGTAAAAGTTAAAAGTTGGGAACTTTTTAAGGTGGTTCTCAAAAGTTAAATTAGGAAATCAGCATTTGGATGAACACCCTCATTCAAAAAGACGCGCGTTGTTAACTTCTTATGAATCAAGAATAAGGTATAAAGCATTGAGAATCAAGGAGTAGGCTCAGGAGTTAGATAATCCCGGCGACCCGGCCTTATACAGTAAATTGTATTTCGGAAAGCGTCAATTGTATTTCAGATTAGTTAATTTTATTTCAGAAAATGACAATTGTATTGCAGATTATTCGATTTTATTTCGGAAAGCGTCGATTGTATTTTAGAATAGTTAATTCAATTTCAGAAAACGTGAATTACATTTTAGAATTTGTCAGATGTAGTTTAGAAATCATTAGTATTTCAGATAATAATAGATATTTATTTAATTAAGTTTATAAGAGATACTTACTATGTAATATGACGTGCATGGAAATTTGAAAGCCGAGAGCAGATACCTACGCAAATTTTTCCAAATGAACATGCAAGCTAAGTGTATACATAGATGACCCATTATAAATTTTATTCAATACACTACATTGATAACATCTGAAATACATTTGACGAATTCTGCAACACAATTTTCAATTTCTGATCTACAAATAAATAATCTGGAATACAAATGAAATTTTCTGAAATACAAGTGACCAAACTGAAATACAAATGACTTTTTCTGAAATACAGCTAACCAAACTGAAACACAAATTACCTTTTCTGAACTACAACTGACAAAGTTGAAATACATATAACACTTTCTGAAATTAAACTTAAACAACTGGAATACAATTGACGCATTATGAACTAGAATTGATGAATCTGAAATACTGAAGTGAGTATTTTTAAAATTTTTAGAACCAAATATGTTGGAGACGGCTCAAACAAATATAGACAAACTATATATTTTTGGTATCGGGAAATTGTGCTCTACAAGAATATAGAACCAAATATAGGGTATCATATTTAAAAAAAGCTGAAAGCATGCAACATTTCCCATTTCTGACATTCAATTTTTGTTCCTGATCATGGATTCTAAAAATTTAGCCAAAACTCTACACCTTTTGTATTTACACCTTTCTTCTACCTGTAAAGGTAAAGGCTGTAGGTGGGATGTCAATATACAGTGTGATTATTTAAGTGTGCAACATATGGGGATTTTTTTTACTAATAGCACAACCCAAATACAAACAAGGCCAAAAGTTGGTGCATGTCTGATAATCATATTAGGTGCACTTAGAATGGTTGCAAGTTAAACAGCCTACAGGTTAGCTCAAACAATATTAAAATTGTACTGTAAAGTTCCCTTATTTTATAGAATTCAGCAAAATGTTATAAAGAAAAGTTGTTTGGAATTAAAAGTTATGCCTAAATACCAAAACATAGCCTCCTAAGATTTTTTTATTTTTTTTCGAAAAAAATCTTAGTTTCCATATTTTTTTTATTTTTTATTTCCGTCCTTAATACTTTCAAGAATTAATTAAAATCAAATCAATTTTACATAACTTTGTTCAAATTCAAGCATATTTGTGAAATTAAATTAGATTTTGATTTTTTTATGGAATCACAAAATTCATGTTGGTTGCAATGATATTCAACACAACTTCAAAATGTCGCAATTTTTTTTTAACAAGTTAAAACATTACTAATAATTATATGCATAAGTAACAAAAAAACTCTCCTTAAAGTGCAAAAAAAAAAATTTTTATTTAAGTAAATATTACTACAATTTTGATATTTTTTGAGCTACCCTGTATGCTGTTTGACTTGCAACCATTCTAAGTGCACCCCTTATGATTATCAGAATGCACCAAGTTTTGGCCTTGTTTGTGTTTTGAATGTGCTATTACTAAAAAAAAATCCTATATGTCGCACACTCAAATAATCACACTGTATAAAAAACACCTGTACTCTATCTACCATAACAAAATTCACACCTATTTCGGACTTACCCTGTATAATATTTAAAGAGTGATCGATATTTGATGGAAACCCATTGCAAGTTTTTAAGAGAAGGAAAATTTTCTCAATTCTATACAATTTTACAAAACCCTAAGATGTTTCAGGATATGGTGCCGTATTCTTCAGATCGAAAAGCTAGACTAAATATATTGTGGCGCTTTCGCCAGTGTGTACAGAATTCAAACCAGAAAATCAAGAAAATACTGCCTTGTTAAGGAAAGATTATCGCGTTTATTCTGGATTTTACAGGAATTGATTATGGATAGGTTTCAGATAGTCATTATTGTAAAAGTTGTAAAGGGTTAAGTTGTTTGAGTTAATTGGTGAAGTAATTAGTGAAGTAATTAGTGTCAGAGTGTGTAGTAACGTGGAATAAATGATTGTTGGTTAAATGGACTTTGGTTTTGGAATAAACCGACCCAAGATTTCTGTCACACAAGCCAGAGCCGTGACAATATGTTTAGATAGAATATACAGGGTGTCCGGAATAACTTGAAGTACATGGGCATTTTGGAAACCATTCAAGATACAGGGTGGACCAAATGGGGAAAAAGTTGCGCAATCAAGTGGTCATAAACAATATGTCATTAACTTCTTTGAACTCGGAATAGCAACGGATATACAGGGCAAAAAAAAAAGTGCTTTTATAAAATCCTTTGTCTTGTTTATTATAAAAGATACAATCAATAAATTTCCAAGGTAGATGTAAGACTGGATGTAATGCACAGTGTGTCCCATTTTGGTTGTACAGGGTGCTTTTTATGTATTGACACCCAACCTACAGTCTTTACCTTTACAGATAGAAGAAAGGTGTAAATACAAAAGTTGTACAGTTTTGGCTAAATGTCAGAAATGTGAAATGTTGCATGCTTTCACCTTTTTTCAAATGGGATGCCTTATATTTGGTTCTATATTCTTCAAGAGCAGAGAATGCCCCGATTCCAAAAATATATAGTTTGTCTATTCTGACATTCAATTTTTGTTCTTGACCATAGATTCTAAAAATTTAGCCAAAACTGTACAACTTCTGTATTCTCACCTTTTTACTACCTGTAAAGGTAAAGGCTGTAGGTGGGGTGGCAATATATAGAAAAACACCCTGTACACTAGCAAACATTTTAAGTAGGTACTATTTTCTGACTTAGCTATTTCTCAAAGGCCTATATCACATGCTGTAAGAAGAACTCTTAATAGATAGGGAATTATTTTGATAAGAAGAACATGGGAATACAACAAAAATACTTAGGAATTCTTGGGAATAGGATGGAAATACATGGCAATAATTTGTAACAATCGGGAAATACCTAGAACTACCTGGAAATACTGGGAATAATTTGGAGATATCCAGGAATACTAAAGAATACTGGAAATACTTGAAAATTCACCAAAGTATTCCCAAATATGGGAATCCCTGGATGCTTTCCCTTTGGGTGATTGACCAATCAGTCTTTTGGTCATAGCTTGAAACTAACTCACAGTGTCATTTTTAGAGAGCTTATTCCCTAAATAAATTCAGATAATGATTAGAACAATTCATTAAACAATAAACTCAACAATATAGGTACACCAGCTAGCATCAACAAATATTTTAATTACTTATAGAAATGTCAGTAGGGAAGGGGGCTGAGTTTAAATCTGTGATGATAATGGTTTATGTTTATTTTAGAATTTTAGCTTTATCCAGATAAAAGTGTTATCATTCATTATAATACAGAAGTTCAACTGAAAAACTAAAACATGAACATAATTTCGGATATTTCTGCATATTGCTGAGGTCGGATCTGGAACTGATTGTCCTACCTCAATGACACAGCAGCTAAATTAATAACAAAGTTAGGACAGACCCCTGGCAAACATGTACAATGGCGAGAAAGCGCAGGATTATCATCTGCACCGCGCATTGTAAATATTTGCAAAATTAAAATGATTTGATATACCGCGCTAATCGTTGATGTGTAAAATGGAGAGGAGCAAATGTTAGGCATCTGAGTATATGTGCTAAGAGATTTACATTTTTTCAAATTTTGTAGAAACTTTGAATCTTTTTCTATCAAGTAGTCGCCAAGGGCATGTCGGTTTCATGAACGAAATTTTAGTTTAATTTTTCAAAATAGAAATTTGCTTTTTAACAACTATTGTTGGTGTGAAAGCATCAGTCTAAAAATCCTGGATTATGTTGCCTAAATTACATCTAATTTCATTGTACGGAATCATTAGAATGTTTTTCATTGATTTACCAATTATTACCTCGATTATTATACACTAACCACATCATCGTTTTTCAAAGGGAAATCCACAGTTCAAATTATCGAATATTCTGTAGATGATTTTTGATGGAAGTCAAGTGTTTTGTTGAACAGTATGATTTTCCTTCAGTTCAAAATTTGGTTTTTCATTGTCTTGTATGTAAAGCTCATTTTCCTTAGAGAGAGATTCAATGCTTGAACATTTGATATATAGCTCCTTTATCTCTCTCTCTAGGATTCTTATCTGGGACTTGGCTACTTTCGAAGACATTACAACTCAGGAGACAAAATGTTTTATTCATAAGTCACATAAAAATTCAGGGACAATTATTGTTTAAAAAAAAAATGTGAGTGCGAGAGAGAAAGACAGATCTCTTAGAACCGCCTGGCCACATTGTAAATCGTCTGTTTTACTGTGTATTCTTGAAGTTCTGGTTGAAAACAATATAACATGACCGAAAAATACTCACCAATGAAAAGGCAACGTTCCTTTCAAATTTCAAGTGTAAAAATTCCTAATAGAAAATGGATTCAACTATTGACTGCATTTTTTTTATTGCATTGGTTTATATAACTGTCTCTTTCCTCCATTTTGCTTAATCTTAGTTTTGAAATCCGATGTTGTCGATTTTCATAGCTTATGACAATGAAAGTACATTATAACATATCACATTAGCATTCCATTTTTTTTAATGTAGCAATCCCCGAATACCATTTACCTACATGATTATCGATCTCTATAAAATATTGAAATTATTAATGAAACACATTACTCGACGGATAACATCAATAGAGATGAATTAAAACTGGTACCATCCTCTCACATGTTCTCGTCGATAATCGCGACGCATCATCGACATAAGGTGGACGCCTCTGGTCCAAGCTTTATTTTTAAACATTTTGGAAGTTTGTTGATGCATTTTGTATTCGTCGGTGTCGGCTGGCTCACTACCTCACTTAGTTCAGCTCGTCTGTCTTTAGACACAAGGTCTAAGCGGTTTCTCATTCAGTGTCATGTATTTTTTTTTGTGCTAATGTTTTTGTGAATAATTGATTCTTGGAGTAAGATTGTGCAAAAATTGTATTTTTTTGTCAAAATATTAATTTAGATATATTTTTAATTCCACATAATTATATTTGATGTATTTCTAATACCGCCTACTTACTCGTTTTACAGACAGACAGGTTTTTTAGTTTGTCAATTGTCATAATGTTTAGCACCAATAGGCCAATTAAATTTTAATTTTAAATCAGAATTTTTGGCTTTTTTGTGCCATACAACCAATCATGAACTAACAAAATCTGTTTGTGTTTGTCAAACTTTCAATTTTCAACACATAAGTTCTCAAGCTTGACGAACAAATAGGTACCTACTTATTATTGATATTTAGAATCAGCATTCAGCAACACCCACCAATTTGAGAGATAGAGTAAGCACTGAAACTAGTAACAGTTTTTTAATTGATTGTTGACTATTACTTGTTATTAATTACAAAAAGGATTTGATTGTGATAAATCGTTGATGGTAACCGGTCTGTGATAAAGTTTGTGGTAAAGATGATGAAGAAGGAGAAACCGATGATGTCGGTGACGGCGATCATTCAGGGGGCGCAGCAACAGCATTGGGGTCGTGGATGGTGTGCAGGACCACACCAAATGTCGCTAGGTAATTATTTATGTTATTTTTAGGTGCCAAATTGTAAACGATTGTTAACTTTGACAGTGTTAAGGTATCTGGTTATTTTCTATCTCCTTCTAAATTATGAAAAGTCTTATCTGAAACATGTCAATTAACAAAAGGCTAATTGTCTTTTCTTGGACCTCATCCAGACATTTTTTGCATAGAAAAAATCTGTAGGTCGCCCTTGACGATACCTATACGCTTTAGAATATCATGTGATAATTGTTTGTGTCGTGGAATTTATTTGCCTAACATCTCTTGGTAATAAATAAATTCTATTATAGACCTTGGATACTAGATAAACAATGTTTTCAAACTTGTCCAAGTCAAAATCCGTGACAGCTAAAAAACAATCTGGGATGTTTATCAGACAAGGAAAGAATAATTAGGTAGGTATTTGACGATTTGATTAATTGTTTGAGTCAACTCTTGAGGTTAGCAAAATCTCTTCTTGACAAAACTGCATGTACTCTACCACCGGGTGGTGCATGTAAGATTTTTCGTCATATAACGTTTCAAAGGATTGTCTTAATCACAACAGAAGTAATTGACATTTTTGTGGAAATCCGGAGAAGTACAACTGTAAGAGGAAGCTTGAATGGAAAGAGATATAATAATTAAATTTCAGGACAAGTGATATCAAACCTTGATTTTTGATTCGTCGTTTATCCAGAAGAAATGATGACAAAGTTTAGTAGTTTCTGTCTCGCAATTAGTTTAACATCTATTAGCGAATGGTGAGTTGCGCCCTAATCAACATAGGACCAGATAGAGAAGATATAAACGGAAATAGCCAATAAAGATGTTGACAGACTTGAAAAACAGTCGAGAGAACAAAGAAAAACTTGAGAGAATTAATGATATAAAAAAAATACACAGAATATTCGGGAAACGGCGAGCATAGACAAAGTTGTCAGTATGCATACCATCACCTATCACCATCGAAGAAAACATGATGAAGAAAAAAATACGGAATACCTACCTGAAATGCAATAAAAGAATCAACTCTTCAATTCTTATGGTGAAGATGACATACTCCCAGAAATGATCAAAAAAAGCAAAAAAACAACAAAGAATGACTCCGCAAACTTTTCTTAAGAGACCCAATACAAGAAACAATTCCAGAAGGATTTGAGAAGAAATTCCAACTCTATTTGAGTTCTGAGTAGAAAGCAAGCCGTTTTAAGAAGAAATTATGGTTTCACAGAACACGTCCACACCAAATACTTCGTACCAAATACTCTTGGTGGAGCTATAGAATAGTATAGAATAATGCTTCAAAGCTTGAAGATTTCTGTGACGACTCTGAACCGAAAATTGCAGTTAAGGAGCCAATACTATCCGTTACTCTTAAACAAGAAAACGTCTACTGACTCCCTAAACCTAATGCGACAATATTCAACAATACCTATTCTAATTTAATTTTGATAAACCTTGACCTTGTTTCGTCTACTATATTATGCTTAAAACCTGAAAAAAATCATGCACTCATTGTAATTATAATAATATTTATTTAAACAATGGCTAAATAGAAAAATATCAATAATATTACAGTTTCCGTAATCGGGTCACCACTTGATGACCTCATAAAGCGATTGATCCGAAAATAGACTAAGGGGGCCTGAGCAACAATATCCATGTAAATAAGGTCAAGTGCAGACAAGTGATTCAATCGTCGAGACCAGTTGATAATTTTCGTTGACTCTATTTACAATAATTAATTATTTGTTGTTATTTGCATTGCGTTCAAGATGAAGAACAGTGATTCTAGTAAATTTGTACAGGGAAGTTTTTGAAAAATAGGATTTTTTTGGAATACTCGTCTGCACCTGCTGTTTTTCAGGATGATCTACAAACAGTTTCTCCATAACCCTAGTATATAAAATAGTTTTGATGTCATTAGTTTATGAGGTAAGGACTTTTGAGGAAGGAATTTTGCCTAAAAACCAGAATTGCCTACGAACTCTATGGGTTAAAAAAATATCCCTGCTGGGAATAGGATGTTGAAAAAAAAAATATATATTATATCGAAAAGGAAATGTTGGAATAGAGTTACACTTTTCTTCTTTGGTGATTATCCTATTTGGGGCATAACTTACCTTGAAAAATGGAATTACTTTCAACCCCTAAGGAGGAAGGAGAAACAAGAAACCCCCCTCAAAAATTGAAATACAGGATTATAGCGAGGATTATAGCAATTATAGCTTTGTTTTATATCGAAAATACGTCATTTATCTGTATCCTCTTTAGTCTTTAAGTTCCAAGTTTCTTTTTAAATAATATATTTCTAATGTTTTCTTTATTTTTCTTTTAAGGTTATCCATGTGCCAATGGTGAGTATTTTTTTTTAGCACAAAAATCATCTTTTTGTTATTTTGTTTTGTCTTTCCATGTTTCATTATTGTATACTTTACACCTCAAGATCATATTTCATTGGCTTGCCTATTTGCTTCGGTATTAAAATATTGATGTATCATTTGTAAATATTTACTTATATGTTGTTTAATAATTATTGTAAACGGTGTTCTAATTTTCAAAATAATTTGGGATAAACAAATTCGATTTCTAGCTCAAAAATAACTTATTCAGCTTTTATCGTAACTTTATTTTAGCAATAGAAACTGGGTCACCATTACAAAACCATTATAATAACGCAATAGGGAATGGTTGTCAATTTTCATGACTTTCCAAAATTGTTTGTTGATTCTATTTCTAAAACTAAAACTCTAATGAGTCGTTGAATCATTCCTGTTCAATTTGCCTTTAAAATCTGCTACCATCAAAATTTGTTCAAGGTTAATAATGATGATTTTGGGAAATATTTAATGTTAAGTTGCTGGAGTAGGGACTTAATATGCCTTTCAGTTCTAACACAAAACATGCAAAAAGTTCACAATAATTTGAAAACTGAATGTCATCCGAGTATTGCGGAAGCGAGTTAAAATCACTAATCCCTTATCACTTCTACTTAACTTCATAAAACAACAAACTTACTCACCAACTTACAAACTACGCGCTTTATACCTATTCAAAAACTACTTTTAATCTAAGTACCTACTTGTTTTAAATCAAACAATGGGACTCCTGTATACTCGGCTTAGGGTTCCTTGAACGCGGCGCTGGCCTCTTTGAACCAATGCAATTTCGTAATACTGCGTCTCTTCCGAATAAGATCGTAGATCCTACCGATCTGATTATTTATTCTCGTGATAAATCTTCACTCGGCCAAGATACACCATCTCGTTTTCCAATTCTATACCCCCACTCTGATCCATAATGATTCCATTCACGATACTCCATCTATTATAAGTACTCCATCTTCCATCTACCAGCATTACTATGTCTTGCAGATTCCGGAAAACCAAGTCAGGTGGAAATAATTTCCTTGATCTGTTTCTAATGGAAAGCTTCTAACAGAAAGTTTTTCACGTTGATCAATTCCGAGGGAGGGAGTACTTGCCTTGAACTAGGACATGGTGGCCTTGATAAGATATCTTCGTTACTATGCAATTTACCACATGTTTCATTTGACAATTGTGCTGTTGCAACTTCTCAATCGGAAGCTAAGAGAGTCATCAGAAGAGAAGTGAGATCTCAGCCATGCTCTACACTCACCTTTAAAATGTCATCTTCTTCTGCAGCGGTAACATTCGGTGCCTCCTACCAAATTCCTCATTGAAAGCTGACATTTTATAAGAAGGAGAGCGAGACCTCAGTCGTACAGTCACTCCTCTCAAAATGTCTTCTCTCAAGTTTCTTTGTTTGATTCTGCGTAACGACCTTTCTTAGAAGTGCCTTTATTTTGTGTTATTTCTTTTCCTTCTTGTATTGACACAGCTCTGATCTTTGATTTGAATATCTTATAGGCCGCTTTTTAATTAGAGCTTCGCTGTTAATTAATGGTTTGTTTGAGAACAATTTTTCTCTCATTTCTGATGTGAGCCAAATCAACCAGGCGGCAGATATCGGTTCCAAATTCTTGTTGATTCCATACCTTTTACGTTTTTTTGTTCAGAGTAGTTCAAGACCTATACTTGGTGAAGCTGTTTTCGGTGTTGATTCCCATATTGCTCTAACGCATCAACAAGCGCATAACATAATTTTGTTGGGAAGCTGGCGACAGAGTTCTATGGTTCGAAGGCAGGCCACGCAATTGAATTTTGTACAAATAAGCGTCTCAATCACATTAACATCGCAATATACGATCACTCCACGACCATTCTTTAATGGCATTGATGAAAACAAGGGGTTCCAAGTGTGACACGTGTGCTCGCCATTGTGGCATTCCAGGAGGGGTTTTTATTTCATAAAAATGAATAATTGCAATTCTTATTATTTGTCTCTTGAGAAGATAGCTTTGAAATCACAATAGACGAGGGGCATCAAGTACGAGTATTTTATGTAGAAGAATTCCATGATACACTTTCTCAAACACCTTGGAAAAATCAGTGTGCCCTACAAGTAGTCAACATAGTTTAAAATATTTCCTTCAGTTCCTCCGTGCCTGAACCAAACTAATGATCATTCAAGGTAGAAACCAAATTAGGTGATAAGAAGTCTAATAACAAGCTTCTACAAACCTTAGGAATAATACTCAAGATACTAATTGATCTGTAGTTTGAGGTGGTTAGAGATCTGTCACCAGACTTGTTTGACTTAATTTCATTATTGTTTAATGACCAAAATCCCACAATTGTCTTTATAGGATTCATAGCTGATATGTATTAGAATTTTAGACAACGCTCTCAACCTAGAAAATTCTTCATAATCTGTAGCATAATTAGGCATTCCAACGATCTGTCAAAAAGTGCGTTGTGGGCGGAAGTTCATTATCCGGTATATGAGAGTATGGAATTTAAAACTTTTTAAAGTGCATTTTGTGGTTGTTTTGTGAATCAACTCTGTTTATTTTTTTATTTTATTGACTTTATTGGTATTTCTTCCAATTAAAAATGCCACTAACGTGTCTTTTAGTTGATTGTGGCAGTAGTGTCAACAAGGTAACGAGCATGATGTCAGGCTTTTTTCATTGCCCTCTGTTTTAAAATTTTCCAATTAAAACGTAAAAATTTTTCACTACCACTGTTCCTGCATATGAAATTAAGCCAGACTCATAATACTTGTAAGAATTTAAGCTTTTGTAGGCCTCTATTTGCTCATTGATATGAAATTTATGAAAACTGAGGATCAAAGTGTCAACTGGACATTTTTTCAAACTAACCGTTCGCCCACATCCTGATTTTCCTGCATTTAAGTCTTTATATATTCACTCTGCATCTCAAAAAGTATATTATCACAAAGTAAACTGTAATTAGCTTGAAAATATTCCAAATAAACTCAAGATAAACAAACAAACGTCAAATTTTCCACACTCGCCATATTGAAAAATCACGTGGTTTGGAGAGCCTAATTTGATACTTTCAAACTCTCATGTGTCAATTTTTTCTTCAACATACAGCTCTTTGCAGCATCAGAAAACCATATTGGAAATTTTCTTGTGCAATACTGTTGAATAAGATGATGCACAAAAAGGTCAATTGCGATATAAGAAGTTTCGTACAAGATATTTAACATTGCATCCAACTGACAAAAATATAAAAACCTCCATTTCAAAATTGAAGCCATCCTCACATGAGGGTGGAGCTGATGTTTTCAATCTAGTAATAAGTGGAGCTTATTATGCATGTGGGAGGATTAAGATTTCTTCTGCTCGTATAATAACATAAGGATCCTGTATAACAGTACCAGGTCTAATGGGGTTTGGTTGGTTCTTGAGGCAGAGTGTTAGGGTATATCTGGAACAGGTTATGAAAAGAATAAGCTACTGACAGTTAGTCAAGCGCGACTACTTTGTCATTGAGTGCCCCGTGTGCAGCTATCACAGTTGAGCTAAGTGTTCATCTGAACACTATCCATTTCTTGTCAAAATGTTTCAGCTTTGTTACAAATAATACTCGTTATTTGAACTTTAAGATAAGAGAACCTAGAGTCGTGGAATTCAAAAAAAAATATAAAATAACGTGTAGCCCCTTTATGTGCAAATGAAACCACTCAAAATCCAACAAACAATAATTTTATTTTGTTTACAATGTTATGTAGTCAATGTTACTTTCTGTAAAATTTTACAGTTGACAGCTTGGTTGATATGGTGAATCTGATACAATGTACTTTTCCAATCCGGAGCTCTTCAAGGGATGTTGGGTGTTGGGGTTTCACTTCCGTGAACTGGAGCTCTTCGTGTTGTTTCCTGTATCCAGGAAAGAGGATAGATTGCTGGGGTGACGTCACTCCAGCTGATCCAGACTCCAAACAGTGATCTTTATGTCGAGTAGATACCCAGAAAAGAATAAGGCAGTATCAGGTTCACCAAGATTTGGAATCTTAAATCCCTGAATTCTGTCAAAAAGTAAGTGTCTTCCAAAGAACAAAACATTAATATGAAATTAGTTTATTATAAAACCATTGTTGTGCAGACACTCCCAACAGAATCAGGTATGAACAACTATTGCAAATTGAAAAAATATATACAGGGTAGGGACTTTAACTGGAACTAATTCGCTAGAGCCTTCGGATAAAATATGTGAACAAAACGCAAAAGCACGTCGATTAATATTTTTTGCTTAAGATTTTTTCACATTAATTTTGTTATACAGGGTGTTCCAAGAACAGCTGTACGGTTATCAACTTTATTTTTTTAAATAGTAGCCCCTGTATATTATGATATTTCTGGATTCTGCGGAAAATTCCAGACATATTTCATGTATCATGTCATATACCTATCTTCAACTGTTTCGGAAATATTCACAGTTGAAAATTGACTTTTTTGCAACTTTGACCGGCTGACGAAATTTTCAATCATGGATTAAACTCAAAGTTGGTGTCAAATGATAGTTTACGACAAACTAAGATGAAAATTTATGATCCGCTTTGCTGTAAAATCAACCGTTTAGGTTTTACAGTCTGTCAAAGATGCAAAAAAGTCAATTATCAACTGTCAATATTTCCAAAACAGTTGAAGATAAGTATAGAACATTGTACATGAAATATGTGTAGAATTTTCCGCAGAATCTAAAAATGTCATAATATACAGGGGTTACTATTCAAAAAAATAAAGTTGATAACCGTACAGCTGTTCTTGGAACACCCTGTATAAAAAAACTATGTGTAAAAATCTTAGGCAAAAAATCTTAATCGACGTGTTTTTGCGTTTTGTCCACATATTTTATCCGAAGGCTCTAGCGAATTAGTTCCAGTTAAAGTCCCCACCCTGTATATATTTTAATATTAAAAAAATACAATTAAATAATTGAAAAATAATCATAAAAATAGATTA